TTATAATTTCTATTTATATATATTTCTATTTTAAAATTTCCCTGCTGCAGGATCAATAAAGGTTTAATCTAATCTAATCTAATCTAATCTAATCTAATCTAATCTAATCTAATCTAATCTAATCTAATCTAATCTAGGGATCTCTGGGAGCCCACAGGTGGATGTTGGTTTGTTAAAATGGGGGAATATTATCGATGTGTCATATTTTCTATACTCTGAACCTGAACTGTTATAGATGTCAGGTGAAGTCAAGATTTTTAATTGGGCACCGTTATCTTTTACTTAAACCAGAAGGTTCTCAGTAGAGGGAGCTGTTCGCACCTGCCGGCTATGATGTGGCATTTTTGAAAAAGTGACCTTTAAGCTCAAGCCGAGCGTATTTTTGCACCGATTGACCCCAAAAATCAAATCTTTCTGAGGAGAGGTCATTCCTAACTTACCTTACTAAGATATCAACTCGCTAGCACTGGAGCTAGAGAGCATTCACAGACACACAGGTGGGACTGATAACTCTGTAGTTGCCTCCTGGTCAGCATGAAGAGGAACTCATTGGTGAATCTGATCTGTTTACAGAGACTGGAAACACTGTGCACTCCAGCAGCAGAGCTCCTTCATCCAAGGAAGACTCCTGACCACGAACCACCTCTGTCTGATGCAGAGCTGTGTGCCCTGAACATGACTGAAAAACCCAAAGGTGTCCCTGTTGAAGGTGAGTCTCCGGCTTCTCTTTGGCATCACTTTGCATGCTTCACACTGTGCAGAGTGGCAGCTGTCCTTCCATCAAAAACAAGAAATCAGTTTTTATTTTCAAGATGTCAGCGACAGAAGGCCTTTCCTGGCTGTAGTAAGAACTGATAGTCATCTGGAACAAAGGGATGGATGTCGGGGTGGAAGGACAGGTCAACAGGAACATTTAACACCTGCAAAGACTGGTTTTCCTTTTCCAGACAGTCACTGTTTGTGTCTTTAAACGTGCTCCATTCTGACCTTCATCAATTGTTTACCTGCCTGCAGACAGCCGTGAGGTGGCACGTATCTGAACTTCGGTAATTATTTCCCTCTCAGGCTGATGTTTGGCATCAGACTGTAAATGTGTGTGAAAGTCTGTGAAAGTTCTCTGTATGCGTGAACTGATCTGACTTATTTCAGCTTGTAAAGCCACTGATGGTTCACAGTTGCATGAGGAATGCAGAATTTTTAGTGTTTTGTAAGAATCTATTTAGAGCAATCAATTTATTTTTGGCAATTAAAGAATAAAAAATAAAAACAGACATGCGGAATAAAGTGGTTTTGATCAGATAAAGAAAAATCTCTCTGTGTTTTTATAGTTTCTGTCTCAGTTAAATGGAGTGATTTGGGCAGCTGTTAGGAGACAACATGGCTTTCAAACCCGCTGGTGGGTTTCAGAGGGTTAATATCTACAGCTAAGGCTAACGGTAATGTACGTTTCTGTGATAATCGTACTATACTACTATAACTCATAGATGAATATTAACAACTAATGAGCCTTCCAGCATCAAGCCCTCCTCGTATCTGGACCTCCATGTTGACAATTCGACAGCCGACATAGAAGAAGGTTTTACATTTAGTGTCGGATTATCCAGTCACAGCTGTACATGCTCACTATTTTTCACAGTATGCATGGGGAGCCTCTACAGAGAGGCCAGCATGTGTCCACTGTGACCTTTTCCTGTTGTTACTTTGACAGGAGTCTTTTAGAGAAACTCAAGATGTTAAATGCTTGAGTTGTGTCGACCAGAGAAGCTGCAGAGAATCACAACCTGCTACAGAGACTCTAAACGAGCTGCAGAGCTGAAAACACATCGAGCTGTTGGCAGAACTTCATTCCTGACTGAACTGAATGAATAATATGTAGACATTTAAAAGGCCAACGGCTCAAAGAAGTCCTGGTTTCTGGACAAGATCCACCTCACCCTTCCTGTCTTTATGTGGAGCATCAGAACTCTCCTGGAGGCCAAACCAGAGCCAGATAGTTCCGTCCCTTGCAGTAATAATAACCTTTTTTCTCCATCTTTCCAGAAGCTGATCGTGCTTTATGCTGCAGCAGACCTGATGACAGCGTCGACACGAAGGCCTGAGCTGCAGTTTGTTCAAAGCTTCAGTAACATGTCTCAACACAGACGAGCTCAGTTCAGGAGCTCCTTACCTCCTGTCTCCATCATCCTGTGTTATGTTTTTATACTTTTACATGCTGTGTCAAATTAAAGTGTAATTAGCAGAATTGAGTGATGACTAATGTGACCAAAGCTTTCCTGTAATCAGTTTGTACATCAGGGGTTCATCCCACAGATTAAGGCGTTCTCAATACTTGATGCATGTTAGCTGTACGTTGGTTAAACTTCCCCTCGACTCCATCAGGAACTTCTCCACCTGCTGTTCCTTCTCGTTACTGAAAATGATGATTGTACCTTTAGGGAAGCAGGTGATGACTAGTTTTAACTGACAGGTGTTGAACTGTTTGAACAGTGTGAGGAACTGTAGTAGAAATCTGTTTTTTTTGTTTCTCAACATGTCCATTTGGGATTTTTTATAGACTAGACGACACATTGTAAGTCAACTAAGCCGTCAATGCCACAGCTGAGCATTTCTGCCTCAACACTGCAGATGACTGTCTCAAAAACACAGATCCAGACTTCTGAGGTTTCACGTGTAAAGAACCGAAAGACCCGGTTCTGTCACCCTGCAGCGTGGAGCTTTCTGTATGATTAGTCTTCTTTAGAACTGGTTTCTGGTTCGAACATGTGCAGCTGATCATTATGTATTATGGAGCTTCAGTGTTTGAGCAGAATCTCGGGTGAGCTGGTGTGCTCGAGCTGCATGTGTGGAGAAGGAGGCAGGTGTTTCATAGAGCTGCACAGTGCAGTGTTACATCTCGGGGCTTTTAATAGAAGGAAGGGATTGTTTTTATGGAACATACTAAACATTTATTGAAATACGAGACGTGGCTATTAAATAATAAGACAAACCACATGGTGCACACTGACCAATCAGCATGAAGTAACTTTGAATTAAAGCATTAGTCTCATTCTTTAATAGTCACACCTCCTACATGCACCAAGCAAGCAGTAATAACTCACAATCACACACGAGTAATAACCTGCTTCTGTTGTGCCTGAATGTTGTGTCTGTAATCTTTACGCCTTCTCTGGGCAGCAGGAGAACCAAGTTTTGGAGAAATGGGACAGTTGTATTGGAAGGTTTATTGTTTTTTATACACTAAGAATGTGGCAGAGGGGGCAGAAAAAGAAGCTGTTGTGTTGTATTTGTTCCTCCTTCGTATACAAACAGAGGTGGGAAGTGACCAAGTACAAATACTTAGTTACTGTACTTAAGTGGATTCTGCAGGTATCTGTACTTTACTTGAGTATTAATGTTACTGATGACTTTTTACTTTTACTTCCTACATTTGTACACAAATATCTGGACTTTCTACTCCTTACATTCTCTGAACTGGCTCCTTACTTGTTCCAACCTCTGCGGATGACGACATGACATAAAAGACGTAAAAGACGTAACAACAAACGTCTTCATGTTTCCCAGCAGTGAAGCTCAACACAGGCCTGCCTGCCTCAGCTGCCTGCCAGAGGCTTTCTAGCACTGCAGGACTGATGTTCAGATCAAAAGGGCCCGTCTTCATCCAAGGACCTTTGAGAACCAGCTGAGGCTCAATAACAGATGTTGGTAGTCCTGTAGAGACGAGTGTTTCCATGTTGATTATAATGTTTAATGTTCATAATGAAATGGAAGCCTGTCCAGTGGGGTGTTTCTCTGTAGCAGCGCTGTGCAGCTTCTTACAGGATGAAAACAATCCTAATTTGTGTGCTTAAAACTTTTTTTTCGCTTTGCAGAGTTATCAGAGGAGGCATCGCATATCACCGAAGCTCAAAATTCATTTTTACTTTTGTACTTCAGTAAATTTTTGAGCCTGTACTTTTTTTTCCTTTTACTTGAGTAAAGGAGTTGAATCAGTACTTCTACTTTTACCTGAGTCTATTTTTACACAAGTAGCTCTACTTAAGTAAAGAATGTGAGTACTTTTGCCATCTCTGTATACAAATAATCACTGAACAACAGACAGATGTGAGCGATCAGGCCTTAATCTGTCATTTAGAACGTGATATGTACCGACGTCTTGAGATAAAAATCTTTTTTTTGAGCTTGTTTGTCCATTCTCACAAAAGCCAGTCTTTTTTTTGGTGCAATAAGTTTCCCAGCGAGCCCTCTGAGCTGCAGATGCACAAGTATGTGGTCGAGTTTAAGGAGTGGTGGTGAGTACTTGTACAGTCTGATGGACCCATGTTATAACATTACAGCTAATCTTCAGTTCACATACAGAGACAACAGGTGTCCCTTTACCAACGTGTAGTTTTACATCCAAGTGACTGACGGTGAAAAAAACTTGAAATAACCGAACTACTTGAAGTCCACCATGTCTCCTGCTGTTCAGATGACAGGCAGAGGTTCTGAGATGGATCGTGGTCCGTTTCGTCTTTACCTTTAACTCCTGATAATAAAACTCGTCGACAACACAAACAAGAGTTCTGCTGCAAAATTTCTTACAAGATCCTCGTTATCTCCAGCGAACCGGTGACCTTTTCTGAGAATCAGTGCCGTGTTCACGAGGACGGCGAGCTCACTTCACACGTTTCTGAGGAAACAGTAACAGAGATGAAGACTCAGAGGGAGTGAACGATCCTCCCACGCTGCAGACAAGTCAAAATTATTAAAAAAAAAAAAAAAAGAAGAAGAAGAAGAAGGTTTTACACGCTTACTGTAAATCCAGTTAGCCCATGGTGGTAACATACCGGTGTTGAAAGCAGGTAAATCATAATATATTAAATTTGTACTTTACCCAAAACACAACACTTTATAATGCAGAAAAGTTTAACCCATGACAGGTTTAAGAAACTCTGAAGACATCATTAAAAACTTGTGTGACAAACTGTAGCTGTTGCAGTTAGTTGAATATTGCAGGAGTTTGTTTAACGTTATCGTTGTGTCAGAAAGACGTGAGTGAATAAATATATCAGATCAATAAAGTGAGTAATGGTGATGTTCTTAAATAAAATCAGTTCAGGTGTGTATTATTTACCTGATTGTACTAATAACAGTCTCAACCTTTATTTTTTGGGATTCGTTTCTTTATTTACCATCTCTAACAGTCTCTGATTAGAAACTTATCTGCAGCTCTGACTAAACCTGCTGCAGTTCCCTGGTTTGTCCATCAGAGGGGGCTAGATGTCAGATATTAGATCTCTGAGGCCAGCGTCCCGTCCGGACAGGCGGGAGTGAGGGGACTCGACCACACCGTCACAGATCAGCCTGCTGGGGGTCACATTAGTGCATGACTGAGGTGTTGTGACTGAAGGTGCTGCTCACCTGGAAACTCCACAGGGTCAGAATAAAACTGTGTTACTGTAAATGTACAGTAGCTCATGACTTATTAAAAAAACGTCCTGGAATGCTGTCCTTAAATTATTTACTTAAAATTTAATTCTCCTTGTAGATCTACATGCATGTACTTGTAGTGCACAACCACACGTCCAGCTATTATCATTCAGCCTGACTGTACATTCACCGTAGCTGAAGGACATCGGATGCAGTCTTAAAAAGCAGCACTTTGAAGCACTTTGAGCATCTGCAGTGGCTCATAAAGTGTACTATGATGCTCTTTAACAAGTAACAAATGACTATATTCACATCATTTTCTTTTCTATGAGGTGAGAATCTGTGAAAATCTGCTGCATGTGTGTAGATTTATTGATATCTGCATCTTAAAATATCATTCAGTCCTCAAATTGACAAATCTGTCGTCAAGATCTTCACATTTTTCACATTTTTTTTGAAGTAAAACTCTGATTATCTGCTCTGTTTTATATAATATTCCTGTTAACATCTCCTCCTAATACAGAGCTGGAATATATATATATATTTTCAAAAGAATATTTAGTCAAGATCCACCTGATAAACAAAAAAAAATCTGAGCTCAACAGGGGGGAAAAAATGCAAACAAATGTGCGTGTAGCTGACAGTCCAGCCTACCATTCATCAGGCGACGTTTTCCAGTAATGTACTCTCTTTTGCAAATTTAACACGGACCCACCACTGGGAGAAAAATGGGACAAGGTGTGCAAACTGAAAGCCTTAAGACTGTGTGACAAGCGTGATAAATGCAGCAGGCGCTGACACGGCTATGGAGAAAGACAAAAGATACCTTTGTCTTGTCACAATAATCCTAATCTGTTTGAAGATGGGGCCACATTAGAGCGAGAGGCAGAGAAAAACACACAAATGGGGATGGAGGCAGCTTCCTGGTCAGCGGTGATGAATGCCGCTACATCACCAAGCGGCCTCGCTATGATGTTTCTCTCTAATGGCCTGATTGCTCAATTAATTCTGCGGCTCATTCTTCGCCGGCCCCCTTTAATGTGGAAACAGCTATATTTTCTCCCAGATTAGTATAGATACAGGCTGACAGTCTGCACTGCTCAAGGTATTTGGGAGGTATAATTCATTCATAATGCCACAATGCGCCCCATCTATCATCTCAGGTTTTTCATCCGCTAACTTGCCGCTTGCTCCCTCCTCTCATTCCAGGCTCCTGGCTCTTCTGGGGCAGGTGGAGGTGGGTGGGGAGGTGCTGGTGGTGGGGAGAGGGGGGGTAAAGCCAACCCTGAGTGGTGTGTGTGTGTGTTTGTGCATATATGAGATATGAGAAGTGTTAAGATGTGAGGTGTGCTTTCTTGAGGGGGTGGTGCGTGAGCTGGTGGGCCATGCAAGGTTGTGAGGTCGGCGGCGTCTCTCCTCCTGATGAATTAGCTGGCATATGCAAGCGATGAATTACCAGGCAACGGGAGTCAATTATCCAAAGAAGAAGAAGGGGAAAAAAAAGAGAAGCATGGACCCTGCGCCTGTGGCCCCGGGGTCCCTTTTCCAATTCAGAGAGTGATTTTCCTAAAATGTACAGAGGAAGAGAAGAGAAGCAGCCTTGAAGGAGCGAGAGTGGGATGATGATGATGATGAGGGTTGGGGGAGTAAAAAAAAAAAAGAAAAGGAGAGAATGAATGAAACTACAATGCATGTGTGTGTGCGTCCCACATCTCACCCTCCTCACCTTTTCTCTCTCCCTCTCTCCCCGATCAAATCCAGGAGGCAAAGTGCGGCGTGAAAATGCAAAAG